CTTAATGCTTTCCAGGAATTCACAAGCCACCCAGCCATCTCCAGCACATTTGTGTTGGCTCTGGGGCTGGAAAGGGACTTTGCATGTAATGCCAAGCTTTGTCTTTCCTATCTCCATGAAACCCCTCTCTGAGTGCTTGGGAGCTCTTGAGTTGACACCTCTCCGGAGGAAGATTTCACTTCCCTCGTGGCTGTCCCTGTCTGGGTGAACACAGAAGTTGTCAAAGTTCACTGTCTTTCCAGGTATTGTTCCAGACCATAACCCCAATGATCCCACGTGACATGGAAATCCCCAGGGGCGAGGATAAGGGTAGACCTTTTCCTTGAATTTGTTACATGTTATTCGGAAAAGGGCTAATGAGGGGAGGGCTGGAGGGGATAAATTGCAGCTCCTCCTTGCCTGAGCTCACAGCTGAGCTCCTCTGAAGAGGCAGAGCAGTACCCGGAGAGGAAGAGCCTTCCCACAGCCACCATGTTCCCTGCAAGGACAGTCCTGCTGCTCGTGATGCTCCTCACCCTCTCCCCACACTCCAGTGCAGGTGAGGCACCTCATGGGCCACCACTTCTGGTCGGGACTCAGGGTCATCCCACTGGGGTGGTCGGGCAAGAAACCCACCAGGTGGAGCAGGGATGGGGCTGCTGGCGGGAGGAGCAACCCCCTGGCCGGGGCAGGGCTGCACATCCCGGGGGGGGCAGGGAAGGAAGGAAACTGTTCCTGGAGCTGGGTGGTTTTGGCAGAGCTGCTGCAGGGCTTTTGGTGCTGGATGATAACCTGGAGCATCCTCCTCTCCTGCCCAGGGAATGAAGGAGGAGGGCAGCTGGGGGTCCTTGTGGCAGCATTTGCAGAGTTTGGGGGATGCTGTGTGCGTCAGCCTTGTCACGGGGGAAGGTCCTAAAGACAAACTGCCTTCCACAGCCAGTGTTCACAGTCTCTCTTTGTCTTCTCCAGCCCCTTATTCTCCATCTGAGTGCTGCTTCCATTATGTAAAGGGTGCTCTCCGGCTGGCAAACCTGAAGGATTGCTATTCAACTTCCAGGGAGTGTTTTTTCCCAGCAATTGTGTAAGTCCTGGTAATTTCCCCACTGCTGTGCTGTTTCCTGAGCCAGCACAGGTTCAGTTCATCTGCAGACAGGACAGGGCCAGGTCTGCGTAGCCTCCAGGGTTTTCCAGCATGAAGAGGGGAGGGCATGACTGTCTGGGCACTTTTACAGGGCAGAGTTTAGGACGTGAGTCCACTGCAGCTCCTGAAGGCTCTGCACAGGCTCTAGAGGTGCTGGGCTGCAGCATGAGCTGATTGTAGGACACCAAGTACCAGGGGCAGCGTGCAGGGCCAAAGGGAATAGAGAAGGATCAGGGAGGGAGGATGGCATGGGCATGAGTGGGATTATAGCTGTCATTTCTCACAAAGCTTCACCTTTAACCTCGGCAGGTTTAAGACCAAGAACGGGACCAAGGTCTGTGCAAACCCAGAGGAGCCCTGGGTGCAGAGAGCAGTTGGGAAGCTCCAGAAGAGGAAAGAACTTCGTGCCCCATGATGTAGAGTGGGTGCCCTGGTTAAGGCTACCCAACATCCTGGTGGGAAGGAAGGTCTATAACCATCCTCCCAGAAGGGAATGCAGAGGTCCTGGCTGCTGGTGGGGGACACTGACTCCCCAGAGCCCTGAGCTGTGTCCACCAGCCGGGCACCAGCCCCTGGAATGCTGCTGGTCCTGCCAGCACCTGCCTGCTGATCACAGCCACCAAATAAAGTTTAGTTCATGTGAGATTGGAGAGTGGTGTCCTTTCTTCTCCCAGCCCCACAGCGCTGCTGCTGCTGCCAGCAGGTCGAGGCGTGGAGCTGGCCAAGGGGCTGGGGTGGGATGGGGGCTCTTCCCACTGAGTCTCACTGGGGCAGGCAGGGAGGGGCATGGATGGCATTGTATGGATGCAGGGCATTTGGGTACTTGCTTCAAGGGAACCCAAAGGGGGCTGGAGACTCACCTGAGGGCTTTTAGGTGCAAAAATGGGCCCTTAGAGGTTTCAGCTCGTCCCTTGTGCTGCCCTGTGCAGGAGCACAGCCTGGCTGCCACATCTGCCCCAGGACTGTGGTGTCTCTGAGCTGTGCTGCAGAGGAAGGGTTTCTCTGCAGACCTCCCTGGTTAGGGAGGACAGGCGAGGGATGCTGAAGCAGACAAGGGATTCACCAACATACAGCCCTGGAAATCCCATCCCTGCCAGGATCCCTGGTTGCTCAGCAGTGATCCCTGCCAGGGTTTTGGGATGGGGAGGAGAACTGCAAGGGCAAGAGTGAGGAAAGTCATGGGTTGGGATAAAGACAATATAATATATAAAGCAAAAGCTGCACACAAAAGCAAAGCAAAATAAGGGATTCATTCACTCCTTCCCACCCTCAGGGAGGTGTTCAGCCATAGCCAGTGGAGCAGGGCTCCACCACGTGTGACAGAGACCTGGGGAGACAAAAGCTGTGATTCTGAATGCCTCCACGTCCTCTTTCTTTTCCTGTGACTGTTCAGTAAGGGGGGGGGGGGAAGAAAACCAACCCCCCCCAAAAAAACCCACCAAAAAACCCACCGAGTCATAAAAAAGTCATCACTTACCACCAGCCGGATGATGCTCAGCCAGTCCCTGAGCAGCTGCCACCCTGAAAGCCCTGCTGTCAGCACTCCCAGATCTCGGGGAAGGGAATTTTGGCTGCAGCATCTCCAGGGATGCTTTCACAGCAGAGGCAAAACCCACCCAGAGCTGAGGGATGCCCCTGGCACACTGCAGGTCTGGGAACCGGAGGTCTCGTGGGCACCAAGAGGCAGGTGGAGATCTGTGGGTCCACCAGGAGAAGCTTCAGCCTGAGGAAGCCTCTTAAACTGTTGCCTTTATCCTTCCTGAGCTTTCAGACTGTGGAGTCGCCCTGTTTGCTTGGACTTGGTGCCCTCTCCTGACAGCTGTGGCATGGATGCAGCACAGACCTCAGCACCACCCAACATTTATCACACACACATGTAAGCTATTAAACTATTAACTTTCATGATTACCCACTCAAACCCCAAGAGATTATACGAGTCAGAGAATATTTCCCCATCTCTACATTGCTTTGGGGTTTTTTCATCCGTGCCTAACCCATTTGAATTCCTGAAGTGGGGTTTTTCCTCAGTCAAAAAATTTGTATTCAATTTTAATTATTAGTGAGGTTGCAGGTGGTTTGGACAACCATAAACTCCTGTGCACAGCCTGTCTCCCTCTGTTCTCTCCACACAGAGGGCTGCTTGCCTTTATATTTGCCTAACAAGGAGCACCTGGAGAGTAGGCTGGAGAACACCTGGAGAAGAGGCTGTGCCACCAGTGGGAATGGCCTGGGAGGTTGCTGGGAGCACCCCAGGCACTGCAGGTTTGAAGAGCATGGAGAAGACTAAAGCCAAACCCGAAGGTTCACTGCTGGGACAGGGACACAGAGGGAACCCCAGTCCTCCAGAGCTTTGTGGAGCCTCTCCAGGCCCAACATGCACTAATTTGCTTTATGAAGGGCAGATAGTGGAGGCATCTATTAATGCTTCCTGTAGGGCTGGGGACAGGAATAATTAGCTAAGGGAAAGGAGGTGCCTCAGACAAGCCTGAAAAGGGAGCTCAGGGCTTGGCACGTAAGGTTTTCTGTGCCAGGAGATGGCTGAAAAAGCCATTAGCTCAGTTCTCCCTTAATTACAGCCCTTTGCTTGTAACCCATGCCCAGGAGGTGGTGTGACTGGCAGCTGCTGGGCTCAAGGGTCTGTACATCAGAGATGTGGCAGGAGCTGCAAAAAGGAGGGCAGGAGAACCTGGGGGGATGCAGAGTCCAGAGAAGAGGACCCAGGAGCTCCTGTGTGTCAGGTGTTTTTTGTCTGTAGAGCCCTTTCCTGGGGAAAGCAGCATCAGAACCCAGTGGTGCTGTGCCCAGCTCTCTGCATGGCCACCCTGGCTCGTGCCAGGCCACCAGACCCCACGTTGTGCGGGCTATTTCTTCTAAATCAGAATTTTCAGCACATTTGATTTGTTTCCTTCTCCTTTCTTCTTACAGAGAAGTCAGGGAACATGCTCTTACAGTGAACATGAGATAATCTTCAAGGAAGTCCATTTCTACCTCCATTCTCCTCTGAGAAGCCCTGGCTTGTCTCAGCCAGGTCCCCTCCTGTGCTCCCACTCACCACCATCCTATGGGGTTCCCAGTGGGTCCTCACCCCCTCCTCACACACAGACCATCCTGCCCTCCCTGGGAGCAGATCCCTGCATGGAAGCTGGGCTGGTGGTGCTGCTGTGTCTGTGCCACCTGCCCCTCCTGCCCTTGGGGTCCTCTCTGTGCTCTGGGATGACTCTCCTGAGGCTGTAGTAGGGTTTGCCCCATCTCCCTGCAGAAATGACCTGTCTGTACTGATGGCCACAGGCCTCCATCCTTCTGACCCTCTCATTTTGATCCCAGTGCTCATATGGGAGGCAGAGGCAACACTTGGGCTCAGACTTGTGATCAGACCCAGACTCTCCTCAGACACCCCACTGCCACTGCTCTATTTTTTTCCCCTTCTATAAAGTCTCCTGAACCCACCAAAAGCATCTCTGCCACCCCCTGCTCTGAGGTCCCTGCTAGTTTGTTCCAGGATGGCTTTTTCTGCCTGACATCCTATCCCAGAGTGCTTCACTGACTAACCCAACACCCTCTGTATGGCCAGGGTGGCTGGGGAGGCCGGTTTGGAGGGGACTCATTAGTCACTTAATTGGCCAAACCAATTAAACCCACCTGTGACTCGTTCCTGCTCAGACTGTGGGTCCTCTCTCCTGTCAGAAATAAACAGATGAGCATTGGACCTGATGTTCTCTGCCTTCATGGGAATATGCTTTAATCTGCTTTCCTGAGTAAATTTCGGTTCCCCAGAGCCTCCTGGAAGCCCCTCACGGCGTCACGGCTTCCGCAGAAAGCAGAAGTAGCCGCCTCCCTCCTCCTCGACCTTTTCCACCCCCCCACTGGATGTGTCCCAAAAATAAACGACAGAAACCCCCTCGTCCCTGGGAAGGGGCTTCTTAGAACACGTCTGAAGTTTTTGGAAGAGCGGCCCGAGGGGGCGGGATGAGGAGGATAAATTACGGAGCAGCGGGAGCCAAAGCCACGGACACCGGGCAGGGCAGCACAAAGGACAGAGGAAGAGCCCTCAGGCAGCCACCATGGCCACTGCAAGGACAGTCCTGCTGCTCACCCTGCTCCTCACCTTCTCCCTGCACTGTGCCACAGGTAAGGCACCTCGTGGGCCGTTGCTGCAGGTCCGGGCTCGGAGTCCCCACTGGGGATGTCCCACTGGGGAGGTCGGGCAGGAAAGCCCAGCAGGGAGTGGGAATGGTGCTGCTGGAGGGAGCAGCAACCCCCTGGTCAGGGCAGGGCAATGCAGGGCAGCACATCAGGGATGCAGGGGTGGATGGAGAAGGTGCTGGGTGGTTTCAGCAAAGCCGGCCCTGGGGAGATGCTGCAGGAGCCTGGGGGAGACTCTGGCAGCCGTTCCCCAGGTCTCAGCTGGATGAGCAAGTGGTTGGAGGGGAGGGGAGCATGTTCAGCTGTTTGGAGCCTCCTAAAACACCCTGCAAGCTGTGCCCTCGCCTTGGAAACCCCCAAAACCTCATCCCCAGAGCGAGCAGCCCGACCTTTCCGGGCACTCTGGTGGCTGCAGCAACACGGGCTGTGGGGTGCCGGGTCCTGTGCTGTTCCCCTCCCCACCATTGTCCACATCCCAGTCCTGTGCTTGCTGCCACGAAGGGAAGCAAATCCCTGCTGTGGGATCCTGCAGGAGCTGCTGAGAAGCTCCACAGTTCCACATCCTGCGGTGTCACTGTCTGGCGATGCAATTGGTTGCAAAATGCTGCCAAGGCCGTTTAAAACATCCTTCCCTTCCCTTCCCAGCCCACTTCAGACCCATCGAATGCTGCTTTGAGTATGCAGAGAGACCCGTCCGACACGTGCAGAGCTACTATGAGACCCCCATTGACTGCCCTATGCCTGCAGTTGTGTGAGTATCCCAGGGATTGCCTCCCACCCCTGCACGGTGGGGAGCTGGAGCAGCTCCTCCTTCCCATCTCACCCTGCAGATGGCTCAGTCCCAGCCAGGGGCATGTGCCTGGAGGGGGCTGTGGCAGGAAAGTAGGGTGGGCAAAGCTTAAGCTTTCTGCTTAAGCCAGTGGTCTGGGAAGACTCAGACACACACCATCAGCCCAAGGAGGCCATGGACTGCTGGAGATGATTCCAAGCCTCCATCCAGGATGGGGCTGCACAAGGGAAGGGGAGAATGAGAAGGGAATGGCTCACAGTTCACATTTTCACTCTTTTTCCTCACCTTCTCCTTGCAGGATTGTGGCTGCCAGAGGTACCAAGATCTGTGCTGACCCCAAGAAGCGCTGGGTGGAGAAAGCCATGGAAAAGCTTAGAAAGAAAAAATGAACTCCATCCACCATCCCACTTGCCCATCCAGTCCTCCTGTCTCTGCTGGGTGCTGACAGTGCTCACAGCCCTTCTCCAAAGGCTGCTGTGGCAGTGGGCACCACCACTGCAGGTGGAGCCAGCCCGTACCCTGGCAGGGTCAGGTGTCACCACACCATGGACCAGCCGGCCACCAAGCTCCTCCTGCTGCCCCTGCCCTGCCAGGCTGTGCCAGTGGAGCAAATATTTATAATAAAAACTCATTGTTATAAGTTGCTGTCTGAATTTTTCCTGATTCTTCCAGCCCAAGGAGCAGATCCTACAAGCCCAGGGGATGGTGTGACCCAAAAAAACCTCTGCCACAAGCACACGTTTCTCCGGGCTGGGAGCAAACCGTGCCTGGTCACAGTGTGCTTCATTGGGAATGTGATAGCAGAGCCAGGTCTTGACCCATAGGTCAAGGACACGGAGGGGAGGTTACCCTTGCCCCTAGGTAAGGCTGTACATCCTCAGACCATGCTCACAGCCCCACAGGCTTTGCAGGTGCTCCAGAATTAAGGGGTCAGCAGTGGAGGGTTCCGGGAAAAGATACTGATCTACCAAACCCTTAATACCTTGTCAGCTTCCAAATGTGCTGGTGGCCACTGCAAAATATCTGAGGGAGATAAGAAACAATATCCAGTGTGCTGGGAGAGTGAGGACACAACCCCCTTGAGATGGGCAGGGAGGTGTCCTGGCTGCCTGTCCCCCTGCAGGGCTGGGGAGGGGTGGGAGCAGCATGGCACCCCAGACACTCACACCAGGCTGCTGGTCCATCACCTCACGGGAGAGGTGCAAATCCACATGGGAAAACCACAGAAAGGTGAAGGCAAGGAATGTGGCAAGTGCCACAGACTGATCCTCAGCCCAAAGCTTCCTCAGTGTTTCTTGCTCCGTCCCAGAACACGGCAGGGCTGTATTTTCTAGGATACCGAATGGCACGGGAAAAACATCCCCAGTGACATTTCTGCCCGCAGGTCATAAGCACCATGGGATGAAGCTGAAGCAGAATCTGATGCTGGGGGCCAAACATCCCATGGATTGTGCATCCCCTGTCAGAAGGGACACGAGCTGCCGGCCCCGTGCTCGCCTTCCCCGGCGAGCACAGACTGACAAAGCACAAGGCTCCACACCGGCTCTTGCACATGGATGTGTATTTTAATAAAAATAATTCTGTCAATATACAGCAGAATGTCGATTTTTTTACCATATTTCCAGTATATTTTCATAGGCTTTTTCTCAGTTAAAATCCCCCCCCCAATCCCCTTTTCGAAGTTTTCATGCGAAGCGTCAGATAACTTAATTCACAAATACTAAGCTTAGACTGAACCAATGTGCACAGTTTGTGTAATGTCCATTTAGCCAATGTTGTACCAAAGAGGAGGAGCTCCCTTCCGAAGGCGATGAGAAGCCTGGAGTGGCACAGGGAGATCTGCCCCTGCTCCTCCGGGGCTGGTGGGAAACCTGCAGAGACCTTGCACCCCGTGCTCCAGCCGAGCATTTCATACCTGAGTTTTGAGCAACCAGCAGGAGAGGAGTTCACTGCGTGGTGGGCAGGTCCTGGGGCTTGCCCTGCTGCGTGCCAGAGCTTCAGGTGCTGGCAGCCTCCTCCTGCCTCCCCCAGCTGCAGAGCCGTGAAGAGCGTGCACAGGCGGGACCGAGAGACAATCCCAAGCCAAGCCCTGTGCAGAGTCCTTGGTCTGGAATTCACCATAATTGTATTTTTCAAATTTTCTTTAAAATCCGGAGTATCCCCAGAGCTGCTGCTGTTTCTCCTTTCTCCAAGTTTAAGCCAAGTGTGGAAGCCCAGCCTGCAAAAATCCCTCTGTGCTCCCTTCTGGAGGAAGGGTGCAGCTGAAGTCCTCCCAAGCAAAAGAGGTCTGAGCAAGTGCCTTGACCCAAATGGAGTGACCAGGGTCTGCCTGGCCAGAGGATATGGAGCAAGGAGCAGAGGTTTGCATGGCCTCCAGGAATCCTTCCGTGGTGATGTAAAATCCCTCATGGGAGTCGAGGGCTTCCTGCAAGCAGGAGAGAGTTAAGCCTCCCTCCTGGAAAGAAAACAGCCAGCAGGACATGTGCTCCTCAAGTCTGGATGATGCCCTGGCTTGTTGGGCACTGCTACAGCTCAAGCTGCAGGCTCTGATCTCTGTGGGACGTGGGGAGAGGGACAGACATGCCCTGACCAGCCATCCATCACCTGCCACCTCTTGTTGCAGGAAGGATGGTGGAGAGCAGCCAGTGCTGCCCACGAAAGAGGCCTCCAGGTTCTCAACTGCTCCCCTTTCCTCTCGAATCTGCTGTAGCTCCTCCCAGCTCCCTGGCAACACTTCCTCCAGCTCTGCCCTACGCAGCCAATGCAACAAGACTCACAGCCACCTCTGTCTCTTGAGTAAGAACTGCTGGACTGCAGTTCCCTCCATCACTCATTCCTCATTCCTGGCATGTCCTTCCCAAGTCTTTCTGCAGAAACACCTTGGGACAGACGTGTACAGCTGGAGACCCAACACTAGCTCTCTACAACAGACCTACTGCCTCCCCAACCCACCACTCAGGCTGCTCTCACACTGGCAGGGTGGGAAGTTGCTCCTTCTGCAAAGGGGACTCCTGGGTGGACCAGGGCCTTTTCAAGGTGTTCCTTCTCTCAGGCTGTGACCAGCTCCACGGGGCCTCACTGCACCCAGGACTGAAGCATGATGGACCCCTCTCTCCATCTGCTGCCCATAGGGCAGTTCAAGTCTGCACTCTGCTTCTTCATGGGAAGAGCTTCCCAGTCCTGTCTGGTGCCCCACACAGCTTCACAGCATTTACAGGCTGCTCTACAGCCTGACTGCCAAGGTTCACCTCCTCAATCAACCCCACTAGGGCAGAAGAAACTCTGAAACTTGCATCTAAACAACAGCTGCTATGTATTAACACAGACAGGTACCAAAGCACAGAAGCAATCCAACCTGGTTTGCTTTGCTGAAGGAGGAGATGGTTCATCATCCCTGATGCCCAAGGTGGAAAATTATATACTCAATCCCCAGAACTAGTTCCAGCAGCTCTGGTTGCTCCAGTTGTTCAAGGGAGACTCAAGAACAAAGCTATTTAAAGAATGGTAAAGATGCCTGAATAAAACGTGACAAACAAGGACACAGCTTGTGAGGACAGGCTGAGATGTCACTGTGAAAAACCAGAAGGAAAAAGGAAGCATATGGAAAGGTCCTAGGTAACCATGAGGAATGATACTCCTGGACGGGCCCATCTTCCACACCAGTCACAGCTCCATCTCCCAGTGTCCAAACCCAGTTGGCAGCAGCACAGTGAGGACAACCAGGATGCTGGAAATAGCAACAAGCTGTAGCACTATAACCAACACATCTTTTATATGTCCCAGGGCAACGAGTTCCAGCTCTGGTACTCACAGGGGGCTGGAGGGGAGGGAGAGCAGCCACCAGACAACCTCCCCTCAACAGCTGGATGCTGCATATTGTCCAGTGCTTCACTTGGGAGTCCCTCTCCATTCTGCTCCCTGCACACAAGGGCTCAGTTCCTAACCAGATTCCAGAAGAACAGCAGAATTGCTGCAGCCAGACCAGCTGCAGGCTGATGGGATCCTGTATGGTGACAAAAAGGGACTGTTGTGCCCAGATCTGCCCCTTTAGGCCAGCGTGGCACAGCAAGCCTGGGAAGGGCAGTTGGTGTTGCCATGCCTGTGCTTGACACAGACACGAGCTACAGAGCTGGCCCTGGTTTGGAGCAGCTCCCACAGCACCCAGCAGGCAGATACCACTATTGGTGGTCATGCAGCTGGGAGAATACTGGGACTGTGGAAGGCAGACAAGCAAGAAGGGAGAACTGGTAGCAGCAAGAAGTTTTCCCAAAACAAGCTGGCTCTGAGAGCACATTGAAGGATGCAGGGGAAACAGACCTCCCTACTCATGGGAGGGCTCATCTGAGACCTCATTCAACCTTCTAAGTCTTGAATTAGCTTTTGTTAAATACCTGCTAGGGTAGGCTCATGGAACATCCAGAAGAATCATCTGGAACGAGATGGTTCCAAGGGGAACACAAACCAAGAGAAACAAGATTTGGCTCCCCTGGTACAGGAGAGATGTCTACAAACTCAAATGCAATCCAGCAGAGGCCACTAAGATGGTCACAGGCTAGACTACTATGTGTATGAGGTGGATACACCTCCCAGAAACCTTTATCCCAGACACTCCAGTGCACCTCACTCCAAAGTTCTTCCAATGCATTCTTGACGCTCTCTCTCGCTGCTCTGGGGGAAGAGCATGAACCCTTCTCCACAGGGAGAAAAGCCTGGTGATGCAATTCAGCTCCATGAAGACGTCTCCACAGAACCCCTGAAGGACACTTTAACCAAGGCTCCAGGTCTGGAGTTCCCAAAATGTTGTTCTCAAAAGGCCACTTAACAGTCAGGGCATTGGGCTCAAACCCAAAGCCCAGGATGTGCAGGGCTGCTGTTCACCACCCTGGAAAACATTTCCTGTGAAATGTTATCCTTCTGAGAGGCCCTCACTGCAGTGCAGAGTTTGAGGAAGGCGGGTGGAGTGGCTGGTGCCCAGAGCACAGAGGTGGAGTGTGTTTGCCACTCTACAGATCACTCTGGGTGGTGCCTCTGGACTGATCAGGGGAGAGCTGAGACCCTCTGAATGCGCAGCCACAGCAGAGCTGGAAGAGGTTTCTCCTGGGAGCAGTGACCAGGTTGCTCGAGGTACTTGGAATAACAAATCCCAGCTTTTATAGAAGTACTTTTGAACTGCATGTAGCCTCTGTTCAGGGGGACAGCCATCTTCAAAGCCAAAGACCCCAATTCACTTTAGTTCCGCTTTTTAAAATTACTGCAAGAATCCAAACCAAGTTGGTTCAGCCAACATGAACCATCAAAGAGCAGCCAGGGAGATTCAAAGGCAACAGGCTTTGAAATACAACCTGGGAAAAGCAAGCCAGAAATCCCACCTAGGAATCAGGGGTAGGTGAAGGCCTACACCCCACCACACACTGCAAACAATGCTGATCTTCTTCGTACTGAGTCATGGCCACGTTAGTCAGAATCTGAGCAAAATAAGCAGAAACCAGTAGTGAAACCACCAGATCACTTGAAATAAATGAAAAAAAATCCAAGTAACATTCATCAGGCATTTCCTGGCACCAGAATAACCAGATATCTAGGAACATCTCTTGTTTTGGGGCTTTTTTTTTTTAACAGTGAAAGGGAAACCAAAATAAA